ATATTGTAATTTTTAACCTTAAATCAGATTTGTCAATGGATAAAGAGTTGAGATATTGCTATTGATGATTCAAGTAGGTGATGGGTTGCCAAATGAGCAATCTGGCTTTGGTATTCACTCTCATTTCAGATTTGGGTGGGTTCGGGTTTTTTTCTTCATTCATGTGAAACGCAGAGTTTCACTTAACCCTCCCCTGGTTAAGTGAACTCAACTCAACATCCGTCTCTGTGTGTCAAGGATATTATTATTATATTGCTTAATTTTGATCAAAACCAAATTGGGGCTCAATGTTGACAAAAATTGAAAATAGGGTGCCTGAAGGATTAAGTTATATTAAGGTGAAATTGTGTTAAGGATATGAATGATTGTTTACCCGTCTATGTTGTAACAGCCCTTCAATATTCATCCTATTCACAAACATTCCTTCTTCTTTTATTATAAACCTATTGTTTAAAAAAAAAAATGAATATGAATCAAATCAACAAAGACAAAAATACCAAATACGTTATCTTTCTTGCTTTCAAATTTTTCTTCGTACTGCAATTCTAAATGGAGCTGGGCAGTTCTTAGTAGCTTGCACGGGTCGTTATCTTTCTTGCTTTCAAATTTTTCTTCGTACTGCAATTCTAAATGGAGCTGGGCAGTTCTTAGTAGCTTGCACGGGTCGTTATCTTTCTTGCTTTCAAATTTTTCTTCGTACTGCAATTCTAAATGGAGCTGGGCAGTTCTTAGTAGCTTGCACGGGTCATTTTGCAGCAGGTGCTATAAACCCCTCACATCGCTATGAGTGCCCATCCGCCTTACGGAAATCAGAAAATTGCCCTGTGCGCGAGCTGGTCTCTCACAGCCCTGATAACTAACTAGTTTGAATCTTATTCAGATTGGGCGAATTCACGTCCCGATTAGCTAGAGACTTGTTAAACAGCTGCTTTCTCAAATACCATCTTCTGCGTGAATAGGTAGTCTGGGCGAGTAGGAGGCAACCGGCAATAAGCGTGCCACATGCTCCTTGCCGTCTGGCCATTAGTTATATCTTTGTTTACTATCTTATGGAACTCAACTCCTTCAATGTATTTAACGGAACTTATTTTTTCCTCATGATTATTATAAGACTCATTATATGATCATTGGTAATTTACTATCAAAAAAAAAAAGATTGTCAATAACGCGTGCGAATGAAAACCTTACAAGATTGAAGTAATTTTGAATCATCCACTGCTTTTCAAATTTAACACGTATTTTAATTCAGAGATTTAGAAGGAAAAATGATAGGTTTTTTCATAGGTCGTCGTAAATATGCCCACGATGAACATTCACTGTCTGTTGAACAACTTAATGAGTTAGATGCTATCCAAAACTTTTCAGCTACTATCTATCTTAAAAAAAAAAAATGTCAAGAACAGCCTCTTTATTAATTTTCGTTACTCTTAACTTGACATGTATTTCCAATCAGATAAAATATAAACAAAATATACTCAAACATAATATAATCAAAAAGTCATAAATAAAAGCTAAAATAAAATAATTGCAAGAGATGCACATTATAAACGGGGTTTCGCGAATAGTAAAATAATTATTAAATGGAAATACTTAACACGGATATGAGATGAATACATGACAAGTAAAATAATTTTTAGGGTAAATTACGTCTGGTAGCAATACGACACCGACTGTTTAAAAAGGAGGTATAAAAGTAGTTCATAAAATACGGCCCTATATAAAAACGAATACTAGATTAGACTGAAATTAAACTATTTAATAAGTTCAGACCACTGGACAATAGTACTGTCGGAAGTGTGTCAGTCTTTGCCCCGCCTAAACCTCGCATGAGGATACCGAAGGACGCCGGAAATGAGGAATTCATGGTTTGACCGAACAAGTCTTTAAACCCAAGGGATTATTAATTTTTAAGCCAAATTGAGGGTGACTGATTTATATTGAATGTTGCCGTTCACGCAGCTATAAGGTGCGTGACGGGCAATGAGTTTTGCGTTCATGCAACTCCAATTAAGATTGACGTCCACCTTGAAAGCGACAAACGGTTTTTACATTCTGTTTTGGATACGTCGGCAAACGGGTCTCAGAAAAGTGAGCTGCGTTTCACGCTCAGCTTATCGGAGTCCGGTCGTCCGCAGGCCGTCCGCAGTTGGCGTCTGGACGCAGAGCGATCCTGTTTGCCCTACCCATATAAATTTAATGTACCTTGGCCGTTTTTTATTCCTTTTAATGGAGGGTTTTTAGGGTGTTTTGTTTTGTAAAAAAAGGAAGACAGAAGGGAACAATTGGCCATGACCTTAAAGGTTTTTTTCTATCCGGGGACTCATTCTGATATTTATACGGACAAATACCTGACCGATATGAATAAAGTATAAAATCATTAATAGAAAGCTTATTCCTAGATGTAATCTTAACAATTCTTATCTAGAATTAAAAATACACAAAAGTTTCCCTTAGTAAAACCAGGAAGAAGGAGAGAAATGATAGAATCAACAGTCATTTTAGTAAAGAGAGGAAATAAGGGACATATTTTGTTAAAGCCCTTTTGGTGACGAAGCGCTTCTGGGGGACTTGAAAATTTTTAATTATAGTTTTTGAATATATAACAGGATACGTATATTACTAGATTGTTCGATTTGCTCACTATAATTGCTCTCAAAATTCCTACTTCTGAGACAAAGAGTTTTTAAAATATATGTGTTGCGGGGTTAAGAGTTAACATTTATCAATAACTTTTTCCTTTAGGGTTACTCTAATTATTATAGTTTAGTTTAGGTATAATTTAACCATTATATATTTATTCCCTTTCTTTTGTTGGGTGTGAATTTTAGTTAAAAGCGTGGTTGAATTATCTAATTGAATCGGATATAATAAGAATACCGGTTTTTACACTTACCTGAGCTTATGGAATTAAATTATTCGGTGATCTATGTGTTCCTATTAAATTTATTGGAATGTTGATAACCCAAGTGTTTTTATAATATTAAATGCCAAGGGACGGTAACAGTACCAGTTCATGAAAAGCTTTTGCTGTTCTTGTTTGAAAACACGTTAACGGGAGTTACCGCAACCAGGGCAGTTGCGTCATGCCCAACCTACCAAGGATGCCCGTGAACCGGGAAACCCTGTTTCGATGTTCGCAAAAATAATAGATTATTAACCCGAACTGTAGTCTTGCCGTGACCGGAACCCTGTTTGTATTTATGATTTTAATTTTCTTTCTACTATTTTTTGTTTAAATCAATCATTAGTTCTATTTGAAAATTGTGAATAACGACCTGATGAAATCCTGAACGGTTTTACTCTTTCCAAACTAGACATCCTATACCCAACTAAATAGACGCATTCCGTTATCTTTCTTGCTTTCAAATTTTTCTTCGTACTGCAATTCTAAATGGAGCTGGGCAGTTCTTAGTAGCTTGCACGGGTCGTTATCTTTCTTGCTTTCAAATTTTTCTTCGTACTGCAATTCTAAATGGAGCTGGGCAGTTCTTAGTAGCTTGCACGGGTCGTTATCTTTCTTGCTTTCAAATTTTTCTTCGTACTGCAATTCTAAATGGAGCTGGGCAGTTCTTAGTAGCTTGCACGGGTCGTTATCTTTCTTGCTTTCAAATTTTTCTTCGTACTGCAATTCTAAATGGAGCTGGGCAGTTCTTAGTAGCTTGCACGGGTCATTTTGCAGGGGTGCTAAAACCTCACATCGTAGAGGCCATCGGCCTTAGGAAATCAGATTGCCTGGGACTGGTTCAAGCAGTAACTACTAGTTTTGAATCTTATTCAGATTGGGCATCAGTGATAGCAGAGATTAAACAGCTGCTTTCTCAAATACCATCTTGTGAATTAGTCTGGGTTAGGAGGCAAGGCAATAAGCGTGCACATGCTCTTGCTCGTCTGGCATATTTATATCTTTGTTTCTATCTATGGGACTCGACTCCTCAATGTATTAACGAACTTATTTCTCATGATTTATTATAACTATATGATATTATTTACTATCAAAAAAAAAAAAAATTGTTAACGGGAATGAAAACCTTCAAGATTATGTAATTTTTCATCCCTGCTTTCAAATTTAAACTATTTAATTTTCAATTTGAAAATATAGGTTTTTTCATAGTCTTCGGATATGTACATGAACATCACTGTCTGTTGAACAACTTATGAGTTGATGTATCCAATAACTTTTCAGCTATATCATTAAAAAAAACAGAACAGCTTTTATTAATTCTATCCTTAACTTTGACATGTATTTCATATCAATAATATAACAAAATATATAAAACATATAACAAAAACTCATAAATAAAAGTAAAATAAAAAAATTGCAAGAGATGCAATTATAAACGGGTTTGGATATAAATAATTAAATGAATACTTAAACGGATATGAGATGAATACATAAAGTAAAATTTTAGGGTATTCGTCTGGTCCGATCTGTTTAAAAAGGATATAAGTAGTTATAAACGGTTTAAAAACGGATATAGATAGTGAAATTACTATTTGTAATGGATACGGACAAAATATATGTATAAATCTTTGAGTACTCACTATCCGTTAGCCGATATCCATTATTAGTAAAAAATATATTTTAAAAAAGTTTTGATTTCGATGGTTTAAGATTCTCATATATCTCATCCATTACGAGTTTAAAATTTGCGGATACGAGTACTAAAATAGATAATTAAACCGGTTTAAAACGGATACGGATAATAAGATTTTACATATATATGGATACGGATAGTTTAATATGGATAGTTTAAAATTTGCAGGTACCTGCTTTGCTTCTATCCCTAACGGCGTGACTGTCTCCCATCCCTACATCAAACTAGACAAATCTAACCAACGTAAACGCTCTGTCGTTTAATAATACGGCAAACCAAGAAAAACTTTGCGGTGGCAGTTACCCCGTCTTAGTGCCCCCGCCGTTTCTTTTTTATTTTTTTCCTTTCTTTTTTCCTTATCACGCGCTGTCGGTGTATACGCTCTGCGCCTCCAAAGACGACCATTCGTTTTTCTCCACAGAGAAAAACAAAATAAAATCAGGGCGAAAAAATTTAGTTTAAGAAACCCTAATTGTTAAACACTCTGATTTAAAAAGAATATTTTCGTAATTAAACACTCTAATTTCTCTGACATAATCTTTTGTGTTTTTTCTTGGGCTCTGTAAACGTATCTGATCATATTAAGACACCACTGTCGTGGTTTGAATTATTCCTCTTCGTCTTCTTTGAACTGAGGTCGTTAGATGAGTTCAGTTGCTGTCGCTTTACTTGATGGGTTCCTTTCGCTTTCGCTAGAGAACTTTGGAGGGATTTATGCTGGGTCCTTTGCTTCCTCTTCACTATGGTGAGTTAGTATTTTCTCTTTCTCACTTTTCTTTTCTTTTTCCGCTTATTTTTCTTTTTGAATTTGGGGAAAGTTGGGTACTTCTGATCAATGGGTTTTGAGTAATGTGTTCTGCGTGCATTTCGTGGTTAGATTTTTTTTTTTTGTAATTATTTTTTTATTTGAGGCTCTTATTCGCTCGAGAGAAATTTTGGAGCAAAGTAATTTGTATATTACTAGAGTCAAATGAGAATATATGTGTATATTTGGACTTCAAATTTAGTCATTTAGTCGTTTCCCTTTTGTTTGACTTGTTGCTTCGCGAGATTTAGGGCAAACATGCTCCGAAAGGAGCAACTTTTTTGGCCCATATGTATGGAAGTTAATTTTGTTGTTCTAGAAATTTCTTCATGCTTTGTGAAAGTTCTGAAAGGGAGACAAATTTGGCCTATTTTTTATGTAAGTTGATACTGATACTATTGAAAGGATCTTGTCTGCTTGGTGTGTAATTGCTATAGTATGAGGTTGTGTGATTAACCTTACTAAGTGGCATTTTAGCTGACTATACATATTTTGTTCTCAATTATGTGCTTATCCTCAGACAAAATCTATTATACTGACTTCCCTCTCAGTTTCTTCCTAAATACCACTGTGGATAAACGAATACATACTTGTAATGTGTTTGCTTGATGTTTGTGGCATTTCCACCTATCAGTTATTCAGCTTCGGTAGTTTAGTTTGAGTTGCTTGCTTTTCTTATTGTTCTCTTCATACTTCATATGTTTTCACATTTTTTTATAAGCATAAGCAACCTATATAAAACTTTTGGTCTAAGAAAGGTTGAAACATAAAGATTTGCCATTCTGCTGGAGAGCAAACATTAGTATGCTTCACTGGGAAAACGATTTTACGTTTAATTCGTTTAGAAAAAGTGGTCTTTTTTGCTTGATACTATTAGTTTGTGGGTGCTTCAATGATATTGATGCTGAATTGGTAAGCTTGAACTTAGTTGTTGGTTGTATGCATATAGATGACCCTGAGTTGGTTAAGTTGGGATGAAATTCAAATCAATTTATACTTCCAATCTATGTGCACTCCTCTTGTTGTTTTTTTCTTTACTAATCCAATATGTCATGTTCTTCAGTGTGCATGTAAATAATAAAACTCATCATTCAACACCACATTATGTTACTACCTTGCTGTGAAGCAAGAGATATGTCATGTGCTATCTTTCCTTGTTACTGGGTGAAACCACTAGGATCTGAATGAGGGACTTTATAGAAATGTTATTTCTTAGAATGGAGTAACTTTGGCTGCATGTGATGTGGGTGCGTGGCCATTACCTATTTTATGTCAACCGTTTATGAAATTTCATAAACACATTGCAGTAACCTACACATTTGGTGTTGCAGATGACTATTTGTCAAACATGTGGTGACAGAGGCTTCTCCAATGCCTTAATTTTTTGTCACGAATGCCAGGTTTACGCTGTGCATCGGTAAGTAGCACTGTTGGCCATTTGATCTGTTTGTGCTATTAGCCAGAGCAGTGATGCTGGGTGATAGGTTTCACAATGACATGAAGTAAGCTGGTCTGATTATATTATTTGCCCTTTCTTTTACCCCAGCTATTGCTTAGATGTATTGCCAGCAACTTTTGATGAATATGTGGTCTGGTTATGTGAGGATTGTGAATCAAAGACTCTACAACTGTCCTTTCCTGATGAGCGTAGCCCTTTCCAAGTCAGGGAAAATGACTTTGAAAGTTTTGGAAGTGTTCAAGTGAAGAAAAAGAAAAATGTCAAGAAAAAATTGAAAAAGAAATCCAAGAGAAAAGACAATACTCAACGAGGTAACTCAGCAGTTATAGGACATGGAAAAAGCTCCTCTCTTCAACCTCAAGAGGTGCATTGCTCAGAGAATAGTGAGAGAGATCAAGAATTTGTAAGGCAAGATGTATTGAATGACTGCAACTTTGATGAAGCGGTCGAATCTCTTCAGAGTAAAAACTCTCAACTGGATCTTGGAGACTTTAAACCAGTTGAGATGAGTTGCTGTGAGGATGGAGAGATAGATGAGAAGCATGGAAGACAGGATCTTTTGGGTGAAGCCGACTTCCTTGAAGAGGGAGAATTTCTTAAAACTGAAAAATCTCTAGTAGCTGTACCCCTGAAGGCTAGTTCTTTGTATGAGGAGATCAATCAGAAGCTTGTAAGGCAGAACATTCTGCATGATGATTTTGTCTATGAAGACGCTAAAAGACTGAATGGTTTAAATAAGAGATGTGTCCACGAAGATAGCAATCCTCCTAAAATAAATGACAATCAACTGGCTAGATTTGATATCCATCCACTTGCAGTGGACTACAGCATGGATGGAGAGAAAGATAATAACCTTGGGAGATGGAATAATTTGGATGAAGGCAGTTGTTGCGAGGAGGCTGAACCTGAAAACCGTCAGCTAGTTATTTGTGATCCCTCAAACATTTTAGAACAGAATTTTGCTGTCCGTGCACAGCCAATAATAGATCAAATTTGGAGGTAAGATGCCCCCCAACCCCCCACCTAAAAAAAAAAATCTCTCTTTTCTCAAAAATTATTTTGGTAAATGAGAGTTGGTTTGTTTGTTTAACAGGGGAAGCTTGAGCGTTTTGGGTAAACATTTTGGTACAGTTGGACTTGTTGCTCATTTATCTAACTTGGCAGGCTCTAGTGTATATGAGGAAGCAAAATCATTTCCAACATTGCTTTCACCAGAATTACGACCGAGGTCTGCTATCTGGCCTAAAAGTTTTGCAAATAAAGGACCAAGTGATGAGAATATCGCTCTTTTCTTTTTTCCTGACAATGACAGGTGGCAGTTTCAACATATATTCAATACCTTTATGTCTTGGTTTTCTCTTTTCAGTTCCTTCTAAAGATTTGTCTGCTGTTATATTAGGAATGAAAAGAAATATGACAGCTTAGTGAATGACATGATCCACCATGACCGAGCCATGAGAGCTGTTCTTCAAAATGCAGAACTCCTGATTTTCACTTCTACCACACTGCCAATAGATTTTTGGAGTAAGGCCAATAATTTATTTGCCGAAAAGTTCTTCTGCCTCTATATTTTCAAAGATCATGGATTTAATCTTCCTCTTCACAAATTCATTTGCAGGATTCAAAGCGAAATTTTTCTTGTGGGGAGTATTCAAGGGAAAGCAGCCACTGCGCAAAGCTGGTGATGCAGCTTCTGTGGAGGAGAAAAGCCTCGTCAAGACCTTAACTTGTGATAGACACAAGAGTCCTGTTAGTCCATTAAGCAATGGTAGTTATGGATGTGGCTCTATTTCTTCTGCACTTTGTCCATCAACACTTTGAGCTGTTAATATAATATATATGGTGGCTAGTTTCTGCTAGTGGCAATGCCCATTTCAACTGTACAAAGGATAATAAAACTTGTCAATCGTCATTCAGCTATTTTTTGTGGGGAGGTGTTGCTGTCTTGCTATTATTGTGGAATTAAGAGTAAGGTAACATTTTTGTTACAAATTAAAATTTAAGAATACTGAAGTTTTTTGGTGTTATGTGGAGGTACCATGGGTGAAATCAACCCTCAATAAGTACATAATCGTGGTTGAATGTATTTTGGCATTAATTAAATCAGCTTTATCATTTTCTTTTAAATCAAAGCTTAAAATTAAGCTACGCATGACAAGGGTTGGATTCTAAATAGGAGTTAGAATTGAAATTAAATCTATTAAAATCAAAATCGAATCAAATCATTGTCAATTATAAATCTTGGTTTCAAAATGCTCCTTCTGTTTCATTTTGTTTGTCCCATTTTATTTGCTTGTTATTCCTTTTCTGGATGTCTCAAAATGTTTGCAAAGTTATTAAATTTGTATGTATAAATAATTAATTTTCTCATAATAACGTTTATAAAAGAGTTTTTAGTATTTTAATGTGTTATTAAGCATAAAGAAAAGCAAAATAATTTTTATTGACTAAATTCTCAATATACCACACAAATAAAATGGGACGGAGAAAGTATAAAAAAATTGGTGGATTGTGGTTTGCTTCTCTTTTCTTTTTGGTGAAACCAAACTTCCTTCTTAGTTTAACACAATATAAACTATGTTCCTGTTGATCTATTTATTTTTAGTTACCTATATAAATTAACTGAAAAAATTAACAATAATTTCCTCTTTTTTTTTTAGAAGAAAATGAAAATTCATTAATTAATCAAAGCATCCAGCATAATAAAAGATTCAACATGATCTGGAAGAACATTCCAAACCTTAAAACAAGCTTCTAAATAAGCGACCTTAGCCAAGCTATGAGCAGTCTTGTTAGCATGTCGACAAACCCAAGCAATACCAATCACATTTGCTTTGAGAAAAGGCCCTTACAGTCAGCAGCCAAGGCCCCAAATTCAGATATGTCAGTAAGTAGAATCTTGAATAGCAGTAACTATTTCCTGCGCATTAACGTCCAACATAACTGGACCAAGCTGCTGATGTTTCAACTAAGATAATACCTCCCTCAGACCCAATACTTCAGCAAAACGTGGGGACCGGATTCCTGGGATAAAACCAGAAACTACAGTCACTACATGGCCAAAACTATTTTTGAACACTGCTGCAAACCCCGCCGCATTACCATCTTGAGTAAATGCAGCATCTAGATTACCCCTAATAACTCCATGGATTGGGGCCTGCCACAACTTAGAAGTACGAACAGTGTTACCATGAGCCTCCCTTAACCGTGCTACAGCTCTCCAATCCATCAAAAGGTTTGCTGCCAAATTACAAATGACCGAAGCATCAACCTGCACCTACTGCCAGATATGTTTATTTCTAAAATACCATTTGTACCAAAGCAAAAATACTCAATTCAGCTAGTTTTTCAAGTCATAGAACCTTCGATACACCCAAAAACAAGTCACTAAAATCAATAAAAGGCATATTCAACTAGTGCAACCCATAAAAAGACAGACATGCAGATGCAGAAGAACACACCACCAAAGCATGAAACAAAGATTCAGGTAACCCAACAAACATCACAATATGCACAAACATCACAATCCCTCAGCACAAAGAATGAAAAGGTAAGGAGAAAGGGGGTCTCCTTGCCTAATACCCCTTTCTGGGATGATCGGTCCAACCTGAGTCCCGTTATACACCATCGAATACCGCAGAGAAGAAACACATAACAACATCCACTGTACCCATTCGTCACAAAAACCTATACGTCTCATAACTGCCTCCAAATACCCCCAATGGTCTCTGTTGTAAGCTTTGCTAATATCAATCTTCAGAGTAACTGACCCTCTTTTTCCGTTCACTCTCCTTTTCATAGAATGAATTAATTCAAAAGCAATAATAAGGTTGTATTCCACGCATCAATTGTTAAGCTCTCAGAAATTTGAGGTGTAATAAATTATAAATTAGTCTTTTTTGGTTTAATTGAAAATATTTATATTGGTGGAGAGATAATTATAGTTGGATTAAGATAATGGAATCCTAGTTTATTCGTTAGTTAAAGTTTGTTTTGGGATCTACTACCTTTTATTTTAGTTTTTTAGTGTATATTATTATTGTATATTAATAGTGCCCATGTAGAAATCTGCAGAACATAAACCAAAAAAAGGAAAAAAAAAAAAAAAAAAATTAAATTCAAAAGCAATAATAAGAGTTGTTATTCCACGCATCAATTGTTATGCTCTTCAGAAATTTGAGGTGTAACTAAATTATACAATTAGTCTATTTTGGTTTAAATTTTGAAAATATTTATATTGTCTGGCAGACGAATAATTATAGTTGGACATTAAGATAATGAGATCCTTAGTTTATTCTGTTTATGTGTAAAGTTTTGCTTTTGGGACTCTACTACTCTTTTATTTTAGTTTTTTAGTGTATATAATCTTATTGGTATAATTAACTAGTGCCCATGTAGCAAATCTGCCAGAACATAAACCAAAAAAAGGAAAAAAAAAACAAAAAAAAAGAAGACCTTAAGTCTTGCAATCACCGATGTCCGGAATGAGCAATCAGCACGTAGACATAGTACTAATTTTGAAACAAAAAAAAGAAAAAAAAAAAAAAAAAAGAAGACCTTAAGTCTGCAATCACGATGTCGGTAAGAGAATGATAAATAGTTATAATTGAATGAGATATTATATTATCTATTGCATATATGTTGGGTAGATATTGTTTCTTGAGTAGGAAGTTTGATCCTTTTATATATATAGGTAGAAAGATTTTGATTAAAATTGTAGTTGGAATCCTTATTGGATACGTATTTGTGAAGAAATAAGAATAAAATCTCCTAATCCTATTCTGATTATATCTGAATTATAATATTTGGTCTTAAAATATAATTAGTCTTATATGTAAATTACAGCTAAATCTCTGATAAATATTTTTATTCTATCAAATATATTAATAATAGCAGAAAATAATGAATTAATAATAGCACGTGTTTGAAGAAAAATTAGATGATGCAATTTGATAGGACTGAAAATTGAATATATTTGTTGATGACAACAAATTTTATTAGATGAATGAATTATTTCTATCCATTGACATATGGATTTTTCTTCACCTTATTAGAAGGATTGAAATTTTAGGAACAAAAGTATAAAAATACAAAATATATTTTTTTATAAATATTTTAGTATTATATGAATGATTTAGTTTTAATCAAACTTAAGAAATAAATTTAATATTATATTATATACAAGTGAAAGACTATATGTGACTCAGCCTTACCGCGTGATATCTTAAATTACTTAAGTATAAAAATCAAATAATCAACAAAAGATCAAAGCCTTAAATAAATTTAGCTGAATAACTAAGTCTGATTGACACATTCTACTGTATAATAAAAAGAAATTATACAGTAGAGAGAGATAATTAGAAATTTAGTGTTGACAAAGTTACTTGAATGTTTCCATATGCATGTTTGTCAGGCTGACATAAGGTATGCATAATGATGGGTTTAATTAATTAATTAATTAAATATTAATCCAGGCTGTTAATGTCATGACAACCAAAATCTAACTTTAGTTTTTAATAATTACGACAACTTGATTAGTATAATAATCTCAATTCAATCTTCCAAGGCCTGGTTTTTCTTCCCTTTCCCTGTTCTTATTTAACCACTCCCATTTAGGCTTTTTCAATAATATATAATAAGGCTGCAAAAAAATTGGAGTTCTTTTGTCGTCTTGTGGCCCCAAATAAAATGCATCTCTTGAAACTCCAGGTTTGGAGCACTAATGCTTTGTCGTTTTGGGCAGAAAAAAATAAAAGAAATATTTATGATTATAGATTGTGTGAAAAAAATGTTTCTTTGGGAATAATCATACCGACCCATTCATCCACGTCTGCATGATATATTTAAAAGTATTGTTTTTAATCTAAATTTAATTTTGATTAATAAGAAAAGAAAGTTATTTTATTTTTATTAATTTAATTAACTCCATTGAATATGCTGATTAAAAATGGGTTAAATTTAAAGGATTAATATATACAATAATTTCTTTTTAATTTATTTTGGAATATGGACATGATATCATGTTAAAATAAATTTCATTGAAATCAAGGTCAATGGTTAAAAGCAGGCCAAGCTAGCTGCCCTAAAAGATGGGTTTGGTTGAATCTTTTAATCCAAAAACAACGTTAATTGTTAATTACTCGTAATTTAATTTATTTGCATTATTTATCTAGTAGGAAGTTTTGATTTCTTTTTCTGCAATTATAGATGGAACAGAATATATATCAAGGCACATCACTCTTTTGTCGTATCTCACTATCTTTGTATAATTTATCTTATATATTATGTCCAATAACTAAAAGGAAAGAATTTAAATTAATCCTAAGTTTAATCAAATTAGCACATGATTAAGAATCTTGTATTCAAAAACTAATTATTAGGTCCTTAATTTGTAATTGCATTAGTACTTTAGCCCTTCTGTTTTGAAATCCTTTTTTTATAAAGGCTAATTTCTTTTTTTCTTTTTAATTAATTGACAGTCAAAAGAGCCTATTTTAAACGAAATGGACAAAATATTAACAAAATTATAACTTAAGAATCTCTAGTTACATATTTGAAAATATAAACTTTATATAATAATTTTATTATAATTTAGAGACGAATTTATTTGTTTTTCTTACTAAAATGTCAAAAGAAAAGAAATAAAAAGACACAATTTCTTTCCTTTTAAATTGAAAAAATAGCTTAACCTACCTTCTCATGACACCATAATTGATGTAGTTCTATTGCTATCTTTATATGAATGATGGTCATAATTCTTTCTTAATGTAAATACTATATAGGAATAAGGCTTATGAATAATAAAATTAGAATTAGTAGATAATCTTGGTTGGATTTGTTTTGAATTAAAGGTAATTAATTAATTCAAATTTATCATTTTGTTTTAAATAAATTCTCAAAACATATTCTTTTAATTTCATCAAATTTGTCAGCTTTTGACTTTTTACAAAAATAAAGAAAACTATAGAATCACCTCAATTATTCTAATTTCTCAAAGTGATAAATATTTATGAACAAAAAACTTATTTTAATATTTACATTATGAATTTGTATTGTTGAATTGTTGAATACAATGTGAAAAATTTGGATCTATTTAATCCATGTGATTGGGCAAAATTTAATTAATTAACAACCTAATATATAAATCTGGGTAGCTGCCGAAGCTACATTGATATTGACAAACTTTTGCTCACAAAATGTTACATTTTCATAGTATTGAAAGACTCAAACATAAGAAAATTGGAATAGAAGGTCAACAAATTGAGGAACCAAAATGTTATTATTGTTTTAAATTACATGCCATAGGGTACATGACAAAAGAATGGTATCAGAAAAATTAAAAAAAAAATTAAAAAAAGGTCCTTAACAAAGTACAATAGAGCAAAAACTTGCCAATCAATGGACCCACTAAAATTAAAATTAGAAGAAAAAAAAAAAAAAAACATAATGCCATTAACAAGTCTCCAACTTGCTAACCTACCAAAAGAAAAAAGATCATCAAATTTCCACTATTTGCACTATTACCCCTCCTCTTCTTCTCTTCTTCTCTGTCATCTCTCCACCATGAAGTATGAAGAAGATGATAATAAAAACCAAAAAACAATATAACTAACAAGAAAATATATAAAACAAAAGAAAACCCTAATCATTTCTAAAATGTATTCCTTAAAAAATCAAAAATCGAAATTGAAATTGAAATTGAAATTATTGAATAAGTCTATAGATGGAGTTGGAGAAGCCATTAAGCGAGGAGATAGGAAAGTGGAAGGACTAGGCATGAAACTTCCTTCCATAAAATTTCTATTATGAAGAACCGGACTCAAGTCATGGAAGAAGCTAACCATATTTGGATCCGATTGCGGAGAAAAAAAATTCTGATGTATTGGAGGAAGCGAAGCCGGCCCCGGTGATAAAATCCCAGGTGGAAGCAAATTACCTGTTGGTGTTGATGATAATAATGATCTTTCCATTACTTGACTCATTTCAATTCCTTCCAAGAAACTCATATCACCAGTGAATGTCTGTTTAATATTATTCTCTTTAGGTGACTTAGCTTTTTCTATCGTTGCATACCTCGCTGCCGGCGATATTGCACCACCGTCATCGTTAAAGGGATTAGGAGGTGTATAAGTAGTAGCAGTGGAGTTCGAAGAAGAGGAAGAAGAGCCAGTTAGGCGTTGAACTAGAGTCATGAAGTCATTAGGGTTTGTATGAATAACTTTTGGTGAAACTGTGTAGATTATTATAGGTTGCCGTGGCTGCTGGTAGTGATGGTGTGGTTGTTGCTGTGATGGTTGTGGTGCTACGGGTGGTTTCTTGATTTTGTGAGAATCTTTACGGACTTTTAAAGCTGGTGGTCTTGGACCCTGAAGTTCTTTTCTTGGAGATCTGGCCACTGGGAAATCTGAAGAATCCATTCTTGATTTTGAATCTTGATTTAGACGGAAGATATTGCTAAAGGGAGAAGAAGAAGAAGAAGAAGAAGAAGAAGAAGAAGGAGATGGCGAGGATGAGGACAACAAAAGCATTATATTGCTTTGAATAATCTGAAAGGAGTTTTTATAAGGGGATTGAGATGGATAGAAATATTTAAAGAGAGAACAAGTCAAGGGAAATGAAAATAGTAAAATAATTAATATTATAAGAGAATAAAAAAATAGAAAAGAAAAGAGTAAAGTAATAAGAGTACCTGTAAAGTGATATTTTAGTAAGACATGGCCGGTTTCGTGTTGTGCTATTAATGTTTGTTTGAACATGTCCCAAACTCTCAAGTCATAAGCATTTCTTGAATGTATATCTGGAAAGAGTCATATGCCACGTCCACGAGGGACGATCACTTAGAATGTCCATTTAAGCAAATTAAGGTGTACAATATATATTCTCTCCGTCTCATTTTATTTGCATAATTTGATAAAATATGTATATTAAAAATTTAGTCGATAAAAATTATTTTGCTTTATTTTATCCTTAACTCATTAAAATATTAATAATGCAGATTCGAGTCTGGCAAGCCCATAAACAAAGGCAAATCATTATCTCCAGAGTACTCCGTATTCATCAAAGTTCAAATTCAGCGCCTCTAAGTAAGATATTTTAATTGGTGAAAGGATTTATTTCTTATTTTGACGAAAATTAAATCTTTAATACTAGATTAAAAAATAGTTTAATATTTTTAAATGAAAATTTAATACTTATAACTTTTCATAAAAAAATTAATAGGACTCTTAAGTTATTAATCTCTACCCTTCAAAATTATCATTAACTTATCGTAATTTCTACTTTCGTTTGGACTAACATTTATGTTGATGCATTTATATAAAATGTATATAAAATATAAAAACAAATAAAAATAAAATACGTTTTACTTTTTTAGAATTTATAACATATGTTTATTTATTTATTTATTTATTTTACAATCAATCAAAACTTTTGTATCACGAAAGATCCAAGAAATCCATTACTCAAATGAAGAAAAAAAACCAAATTTATGGAAATAAAAATTTAAATTTACGGAGCAAGAATAAATATATACACAAATAAGATCTAACTACCTCATATTAAATATTTTTATTATGATTTCTTTGTATTTTATAGTATCTATTTTGATTTTGCAAAATCACTGGTATCCGGACCCTATTGTCAAGGATAGATTGATCCGGCTCGGGGGTTAGTTACAATTAAAACTGTTCGCCCCTTCCCTCGCTGCAAATGTATTTAGTGAATATCAAATCTAAGAATTCTGCCCACATGCCAACCTGAGTTGCCAACTGAGCCACAACCCGTAAGTTATAGTATCTATTTTTATTAATTTAAAATTTAATCCATTTAATTATTCATTTTTTTGTTAGCTAATTTTAAAGAAAAATTAAATAAATATCATTTTAGACTAATGCGAATTTTTACTTTTGTACAGTAAATATATAGACAATAATACTGGAAAAATCCTATTATTTTCACTTAACTGAAAATTAAAGAAAATAAGAAATCTGTATCATCTATACAAATTAATTCAATAACCTAACATGCTCAATTGAATATGAAAATAATAAAAAAATTCAGTAACTATTTGTTTCAGATCCAAAATAATAAAATAAAATCTCCTCAAATTTTAATAATAAGTTTCATAGTATCATCATCAATGTAAAAATTTAAAAGAGAGGCCATGCATATGTACATAAAATTGACAAACTAACAAAAAAAAAAAAAAAATTCCATTTTCAATTTCTAAAGTTGCTTGCAGTAGAATAGCATAATGCGAAGGACCATTTGGCCCCATCAAGAGGCGTAATTACATATATATAATATTATTCTACTTTTACATTGGAAAAAAAAATGTGAAATATAAGTAGAGTGTGTTATATTTTTTAAATGAATAATTATAATTAGATGTATGCTTGGATTTATTATATAAGTTCACACATGAATGATTGAATTATGCAAGATTCTAGGACTAAAAATAGTTTTTATGTGTGTGAGTGACCCAATGATGATGTGAGTTGTGACTCCTCTAACACTAAATAAATAAATAAACTAAATAAATTTTTGTTAAAAAAATAAAAAAATAAAAAAAATAAAAATAAAAGAAAGAAGAGAGGCTTCTCTAACTCTAACTTCCAAGGTGAATGATGGAGGTATGAGTCATGGTGCAAGTTGACATGGAGGCCCATCACACTTGTGAAATTTTGTTTCTAACCCAATCAACAATTGCTGCACCACCAAAGAAAAACTTTTGCATTTAATGACATTTATGTGGTCATTGGCTTTGCCTGCAATTTTTTTTAATTATTAGAAGAAATTAGTGGGATTCCGCACGTTGTTCCGATTTAATATATACTCTTTTATTTTAAGGAAATTTCCTTTTTGAGCGTAACTTTTATATAGAGAAATATGATTGCAGAATACCATCGGTGATGATGATAGAAATTCTTTTTTCTTGCCAATTATTAATAATATGGTTCGAGAATATATCGGGGAATTATATTTCTAAAAGTATGGAGAATAAAGAGAATCTATTTTTAAAATTCCAATAAGAAAATTTTGATTTGAAGTTTCTATAAATATCTAATTTAAATTGATTAAATTTGATATGACCGAATATTTATCTTTTTAAAAATTATATATTTAGTATATAATGAAAATGATAATAGTAATAATAATATGAATGATTATATCAAGGAATGATGCGTCTCTACTAAAAAAAAAAACAAGAGAGGGATAAGGATTAATTTGGTCTTACGTGACTTGAACAAATTACAATGATTACTTAAATAATCATTTAAAGTTGATCTTTGTAATTAAAGGACACTTAAGAGAGAGCTTAATTAATTATGTTATTCATCCATCTAACGGCGTCATTTCGAATAGCATCCTACTAATAATCTCAAAGAAAGGGAGTTCATGATGAATAAATTATATCATAAAAAAGCCTTCAATATGCATACATCTTAGGCTAAATTGGATTATTTCATAAATGTAAAATAATTATATTTTTTATGTAACGAAAATTTATAAAGAAATGAAAACTCTTAATTTTTTATAGTATGAGAAAATTCAATTATTGACTATTGGCTAATGACAAGTGGCATAAATAGAAATTTGCAGGGTGTACAAGAATGAAAAGTCTAAAATACTCCTAATTTACTTTTGTATTTCCCGTTAATATGGTACTACAATAGATTTTATTTTATTTTATTTTCCGTTAAAAAGAGAGTATTAAAATTTTAAAAAATGATTAAATTGTTATAAGTAAATGAGAGAATAAAAAAAAATATAACATTATAAAATGGAAGAGATCGAGAGTATATATAATTAAATTAAAAAATGATACGTGTAATAAATTTATTATGGACTTATTAATTCGTAGAAAAAAAGAAATTAAAGAGTTTTATCATTAGAAATAAGAAATAAGAAATAAAGAGTTTGATCATTAATTCAATAAACATTATTATTGTATTATTAACAAATAATTGGCATCTAAAATATTAAGTAGAAAAAAAGAAAAGAAAAGGTATCATGATCTATAATAAAAAAAATGAAATGAAGAATTTTTAAATTAAACATATTATTGGCTATTAGGTATTGGAAAAAGAAAATGAAGAGTAATTTTAGAAGATAGTTTTTTTAAATAAGGAGAACTAAATTAAAAAAAAAAAGTTTTAAGAAATAAAATATTGGTTTGTAACCTTTGTTTTGGAATCAACGGCTAATGCATTATGGATGGAGGCGGGATGGAGATTACATAGTTTCCAGTCTTGTCTCAAAATCAAGATATCAAAATTAGAGTTTCAGTCTGACCTATTTTAAGAGACGGGATGAAATGAAATGAATCAAATCAAGGTCAAAGATTTTTAATATTTTAATAAATTATTCAATTAAAATAAAACCTACATTAAAAACCTATTCAATTAATTAATTCATTTTATATGTAGAAGAATCTATAAATAATTTTGCTTCATATTTTTACAATAATAAGTGTTTGATATCGTAAAAAAAAAAAAAAAAACTGCAATTACACCGATGAAATTAATTTTTATGAATATGATTTGACATTCAAAAAAGAATATAATTGAAATTTAGATAAAATGATATAACGGAAATAGCCGTCTCTTAAATAGATCTTGAATTAATATGGATTATTTTAATAGAAGAATCGGGAGACTATGGCCTCAGGTAGGATTCTCCCTTGTCAACCAATATCCTAGGTGCGGCTTTTCCCCCAAAGTTCGAGATTTCGAACCTCCAACCCTATGACTGATCCACTAATCCCCGAAGTCATCTGGCAACTTTTCAAACCATGATGTACCTTCAAACTAATTTTGAAGATCTTATGTGCAAGGCCTTCCCAATCACACTCAAAGGGGCAACCCAAGAGTGGTATTAGACTCTTAAAACAGGATCCATCCAATCGTTCTCCCAATTGGCTACCACATTCTGAGGTTGGTTCATCACAAGTGTGCCATCCAGGAAAATCTCGTCTAATCTGATAAGGATCTGGACCTCTAATTTCGCCCCAAAAGCTAGCTCATAGGGGAAGGACTGAACCCAGCCTTATACACTAGCCCAGGATGTACTCCACGGGCGATGTGGGACACCCCAAAGCTCAAATTAGGAAAGTGGACTGAACCCCAAGGCCTTTATTCACACTAGCCCAGGATGTGTAATTTCGCCCCAAAAGCTAGCTCATAGGGGAAGGACTGAACCCAGCCTTATACACTAGCCCAGGATGTACTCCACGGGCGATGTGGGACGCGTCATCCCCACTCCTATAAGACTTGACTGCCTCAGTCAGCGTTCTGACGAACCCCATGAGACACCGACCCTACGGAGCCAGAGCTCTGATACCAAATGATAAGGATCTAGACCCCTAACTTTGCCCTAAAAGCTAGCTCGTAAGGGAAGGACTGAACCTAGCCTTATACATTAGCCCAAGATGTACTCCGTGGGCGATGTGGGATGCATCATAATCTAATAGATCTAAAGAGAGAAGATGACGAGACATTGAGATAATATGTCTCCATATTCCAAAGAACGGTGATACAGATTAAGAACTTGAATGATGAAGTTGCCATTAGT